TGCGGTCTGCAGTCTGGACGTTAGATGTCGCTAAAAATTACACACTGTAGCTTTAATCATCTATGAGACACCAATGGTCCTACGGTATGTATGTGTCTCTGCAGTGAGTGGAGCGCCATTGAGAAGGAGATGGGAGATGGACTGCAGAGTGCTGGTCATCACATGGATGCGTAAGAACTCCCTGCTTCTCCATTAAGGAATGAAACCATCTGGTTGCTCCTGTGAAGAACCTCTTTATGTAGGACATGCTGACTGCAGCACTCTGTGTTCTCTCTCACCTACAGCTATGCCACATCCATAGATGACATCCTGGAAGAAGAGGAACATTACGCCGACCAGCTGAAAGAATATCTGTCCTACGCTGAAGCTCTGAGGTAGGCTCCAGGTTTAAGGGCCCCCTGCAGCTCTGCATGAAGGGGTCCAGGAAGTGGGCGGGTGTTTCACACATTGTTGGGACCCGTGCTGTTTCAGGGTTAGGCCAGAGGAACATGAATGCAGATCCACTCTTTTCTCTCTTGGTTGTTTAGCTTTATAACACTTCCTGATTCTAACGTGACATGAGAGCAGGAGAATCTGGCTGCAGATACCAGGCTTACAGCGGAGCGTTTTACCTTTGCAGGGCCGTGTGCAGGAAACATGAGCTGAGCCAGTTTGAGCTGGAGATGGCCTCCCAGGACCTGGTGTCTAAGAAGCAGCAACGTGAGGAGCTGGCTACAGGGGTACGCCGTCCTGCACCAACACAACCGAATGGTTCAGTCCCGTCCTTCCAGGCACCTCCAGGGCCGTACAAAGGTCCAGCATGGTACCTGATCCAGTCTAGTCACAGAGGGATCTCTAAGGTGCAGTCATAAACTTAAAGTAGGTTTGCAGAGTTTGGCTGCAAGTGCTCGAATCCAACTTTTGTTCAATCAACTCCAAGTAGAAACACTCAGAAATAAGCACATACTGTACATAACAAGTATGAAAAGCCACTATCAGTGGAGCTTCGTTTGATGAGTCGCCATGACAACAGGCAACAGGAAGTGCCTATTTCACCCCACTGGAGCTAGAGATTTTAATTAAAACATTATATAAAAATGGAGAATGTGTT